CAGGCGATTGGCTGCCAGGTGGTTACAATGGTCGTCTATGAGGGGAAATGAATATCGGGATTTACAGCCGGGTGTCAGCCGGATTTATGGAAGAAGTCCCTGTGATTGGGATTCCCGCGTCTGTGCCGGATCTCCATCCCACCGGAATACGGGGCGGTGACCATGAAGAAGTCCATGGCACCGAACATCAGAAGGCAGTGACCATGAAGAAGTCCATGGCACCGAACATTATAGAAGGTGACCATGAAGAAGTCCATGGCACCAAACATTATAGAAGGTGACCATGAAGAAGTCCATGGCACCGAACATTATAGAAGGCAGTGACCATGAAGAAGTCCATGGCACCGAACATCAGAAGGCAGTGACCATGAAGAAGTCCATGGCACCGAACATTATAGAAGGTGACCATGAAGAAGTCCATGGCACCAAACATTATAGAAGGTGACCATGAAGAAGTCCATGGCACCGAACATTATAGAAGGCAGTGACCATGAAGAAGTCCATGGCACCGAACATTATAGAAGGTGACCATGAAGAAGTCCATGGCACCGAACATTATAGAAGGTGACCATGAAGAAGTCCATGGCACCAAACATTATAAGAAGGTGGCACCAAACATGAAGAAGGTCCATGAATCCATGGCACCAAACATAGAAGGTATAGAAGGTGACCATGAAGAAGTCCATGGCACCAAACATTATAGAAGGTGACCATGAAGAAGTCCATGGCACCGAACATTATAGAAGGCAGTGACCATGAAGAAGTCCATGGCACCGAACATTATAGAAGGTGACCATGAAGAAGTCCATGGCACCGAACATTATAGAAGGTGGCACCATTATAGAAGAAGTCCATGGCACCGAACATTATAAGAAGGTGTGACCTTGAAGAAGTGAAGAAGTCCATGGCACCGAACATTATAGAAGGTGACCATGAAGAAGTCCATGGCACCGAACATCAGAAGGCAGTGACCATGAAGAAGTCCATGGCACCGAACATTATAGAAGGTGACCATGAAGAAGTCCATGGCACCGAACATTATAGAAGGTGACAATGAAGAAGTCCATGGCACCGAACATTATAGAATGTGTGACCATGAAGAAGTCCATGGCACCGAACATTATAGAAGAAGTGGTGACCATGAAGAAGTCCATGGCACCGAACATTATAGAAGGATGGTGACCATGAAGAAGTCCATGGCACCGAACATTATGAAGAAGATGGTGACCATGAAGAAGTCCATGGCATCGAACATTATAGAAGGCAGTGACCATGAAGAAGTCCATGGCATCGAACATTATAGAAGGTGACCATGAAGAAGTCCATGGCATCGAACATTATAGAAGGCGGTGACCATGAAGAAGTCCATGGCATCGAACATTATAGAAGGTGACAATGAAGAAGTCCATGGCATCGAACATTATAGAAGGCAGTGACCATGAAGAAGTCCATGGCATCGAACATTATAGAAGGCGATGACCATGAAGAAGTCCATGCCACCGAACATTATAGAAGGCGGTGACCATGAAGAAGTCCATGGCATCGAACATTATAGAAGGCGATGACCATGAAGAAGTCCATGCCACCGAACATTATAGAAGGTGGTGACCAATGAAGAAGTCCATGGCATCGAACATTATAGAAGGCAGTGACCATGAAGAAGTCCATGGCACCGAACATTATAGAAGGCGGTGACCATGAAGAAGTCCATGGCATCGAACATTATAGAAGGCGGTGACCATGAAGAAGTCCATGGCACCGAACATTATAGAAGGCGATGACCATGAAGAAGTCCATGGCATCGAACATTATAGAAGGCGTGACCATGAAGAAGTCCATGGCACCGAACATTATAGAAGAAGATGGTGACCATGAAGAAGTCCATGGCATCGAACATTATAGAAGGCGGTGACCATGAAGAAGTCCATGGCATCGAACATTATAGAAGGCGGTGACCATGAAGAAGTCCATGGCACCGAACATTATAGAAGAAGATGGTGACCATGAAGAAGTCCATGGCATCGAACATCATAGAAGGCGGTGACCATGAAGAAGTCCATGGCACCGAACATTATAGAAGGCAGTGACCATGAAGAAGTCCATGGCACCGAACATCATAGAAGGCGGTGACCATGAAGAAGTCCATGGCACCGAACATTATAGAAGGCGGTGACCATGAAGAAGTCCATGGCACCGAACATTATAGAAGGCAGTGACCATGAAGAAGTCCATGGCACCAAATATTATAGAAGGCGGTGACCATGAAGAAGTCCATGGCACCGAACATTATAGAAGACGGTGACCATGAAGAAGTCCATGGCACCGAACATTATAGAAGGCAGTGACCATGAAGAAGTCCATGGCAAAGAACATTATAGAAGGCGATGACCATGAAGAAGTCCATGGCACCGAACATTATAGAAGGCAGTGACCATGAAGAAGTCCATGGCACCGAACATTATAGAAGACGGTGACCATGAAGAAGTCCATGGCACCGAACATTATAGAAGGCAGTGACCATGAAGAAGTCCATGGCACCGAACATTATAGAAGGCAGTGACCATGAAGAAGTCCATGGCACCGAACATTATAGAAGACGGTGACCATGAAGAAGTCCATGGCAAAGAACATTATAGAAGGCGATGACCATGAAGAAGTCCATGGCAAAGAACATTATAGAAGGCGGTGACCATGAAGAAGTCCATGGCACCGAACATTATAGAAGGCGGTGACCATGAAGAAGTCCATGGCACCGAACATTATAGAAGGCGGTGACCATGAAGAAGTCCATGGCACCAAATATTATATAGAAGGCGGTGACCATGAAGAAGTCCATGGCACCGAACATTATAGAAGGCGGTGACCATGAAGAAGTCCATGGCACCGAACAGCAGAAGAACGATCTTCATCTACTCACGGACCTCAGACACAGATCACACAGTACGAGGGGACGTACCCATCCACACCAGCGTCCCGGCACACCCAGCGTCCCGGCACACCCAGCGGCCCGGCACACCCAGCGTCCACACACCCAACACCGTCACATGACTGTCACCTCCGGGAGGATCTCCTGCACATTATAGAAGAAGACATGGTGAGGGGGACACAGATCGCTCTTCATACATCATACCTGTCACCCGACTGTCCACACCACCACCCGATATCCCTCCTCCCCCGCCGACCAGACTATGGTGCCCGAGTCCTGTGACCAGACTATGGTGTCATGTGACCAGACTATGGTGTCATGTGACCAGACTATGGTGCCCGAGTCCTGTGACCAGACTATGGTGTCCTGTGACCAGACTATAGTGTCATGTGACCAGACTATGGAGTCATGTGACCAGACTATGGTGCCCGAGTCCTGTGACCAGACTATGGTGTCATGTGACCAGACTATGGTGCCCCGAGTCATGTGACCAGACTATAGTGTCATGTGACCAGACTATGGTGTCATGTGACCAGACTATGGTGCCTAAGGTGCCCCGAGTCCTGTGACCAGACTACAGTGTCATGTGACCAGACTTTGGTGCCCCGAGTCCTGTGACCAGACTATGGTGTCATGTGACCAGACTATGGTGTCCTGTGACCAGACTATGGTGTCCTGTGACCAGACTACAGTGTCATGTGACCAGACTATGGAGTCCTGTGACCAGACTATGGTGTCCTGTGACCAGACTATGGTGCCCCGAGTCCTGTGACCAGACTATGGTGTCCTGTGACCAGACTATGGTGCCCCGAGTTCTGTGACCAGACTATGGTGTCATGTGACCAGACTACAGTGTCATGTGACCAGACTATGGTGCCCCCAGTCATGTGACCAGACTATGGTGTCCTGTGACCAGACTATGGTGTCATGTGACCAGACTATGGTGCCCCGAGTCATGTGACCAGACTATAGTGTCATGTGACCAGACTATGGTGCCCCCGAGTCCTGTGACCAGACTACAGTGTCATGTGACCAGACTATGGTGCCCTGAGTCCTGTGACCAGACTATGGTGTCCTGTGACCAGACTATGGTGCCCCCCGAGTTCTGTGACCAGACTATGGTGTCCTGTGACCAGACTATGGTGCCCCGAGTTCTGTGACCAGACTATGGTGTCATGTGACCAGACTATAGTGTCATGTGACCAGACTATGGTGCCCCGAGTCATGTGACCAGACTATGGAGTCCTGTGACCAGACTATGGTGTCATGTGACCAGACTATGGAGTCCTGTGACCAGACTATGGTGCCCCCTGGTGTGGTGTGACCCCCTCCTGTAGTGGGAAGGCAGCTGGGTCAGCACGGGATGGTGAGGCGCAGGGACACATTGGGGGTTCTGGACTGAATCTGGTGCAGCTCTGCAGAGGAACCAATCAGCTTCCAGGTTTACTGTCCAAGCTTCAATGAAGAAGCTGAAGTCAGAATCTGATTGGCTGTCAGTCTCGGTAACCCTCCCCCCGGTTCCCATACACACCTCTCCTCCGCAGCCCCTCAGAGACAACCACACTCACTTCCGGGTTTCTGTCTTCACCAACATCGCGAGATCTTATGTAATCACACTGCGCATGCCCTGGCCAAGATCAGGACTGTTCTACTGCGCACGCCTGACATCAGTAAGTGGGCGAGTCTATGGAGCATGCGCAGTGTTTATCCGGTGACTAACAGCTTTCCCCGGACGGATCGGGTATCCATAATTCAGTGTACGGTCGGGGTGTGCCGGGCGTGCCGGGTCCCCTCACTGTACATTAATAAAATAATATGTCTCCCCGGGCGGTCCCAGTTCTGCCCCCCACTTCCTCTATCCGCCCAGAGGGGTCCGCCCTCCGCCTCGGCCCTACTCTCTGATTGGCTGTACTGCCCCCGCCGTGACCTGTGATTAGCGGGAAAAGTGAGCGCTGTCAGACGTCTGATTGGCGGGCGGAGATTGCTGTACTGTGATTGGAGGACGGTCCGTACAGGGCTCCTGTGGCCGCCATCTTCCTGTCAGAGTGTACGGAAGCCGCTCCCAGATCAGACATGGCGGCTCGGCTACCGGCCTGTGTGGTGGACTGCGGCACCGGGTGAGCGGCGGGGAGGAGCGATGTGTGGTCGGTGTACCCCCCGGGATGGGGGTGCTGGGCGGTGGTGGTACCCCCCCCGGGATGAGGGTGCTGGGCGGTGTGTAACCCCCCGGGATGAGGGTGATGGATGTACACTGGGGGGGAGTGTCAGGGTCTGCATCCCTCAGAAGTCATTAGAGGAGTTATGAACATTATTTTTCTCTTTTATTATGGAGGAGCGTCAGGTGTCCCCATCAGGGGGATTTCCCTTCACTTCCTGTCCAGGGAGGGATCCCTGATGTCCACCATTGATTTCCCCCCCTTCTACCCGTGGGTAGGATTCCCCCCCCCCCCCCCTTCTACCCGTGGGAGGCTCTCCCCCCCCCCCCCCCCCTTCTACCCGTGGGAGGCTCTCCCCCCCCCCCCCCTTCTACCCGTGGGAGGCCTCTCCCCCCCCCCCCCTTCTACCCGTGGGGGAGGATCTCCCCCCCCCCCCCTTCTACCCGTGGGAGGCTCTCAACCCCCCCCCCCTTCTACCCGTGGGAGGCTCTCCCCCCCCCCCCCCCTTCTACCCGTGGGAGGCTCTTCCCCCCCCCCCCCACCTTCTACCCGTGGGAGGATCTCCCCCCCCCCCCCCCCCCTTCTACCCGTGGGAGGATCTCCCCCCCCCCCCCCCCTTCTACCCGTGGGAGGATCTCCCCCCCCCCCCCTTCTACCCGTGGGAGGATCTCCCCCCCCCCCTTCTACCCCGTGGGAGGATCTCCCCCCCCCCCCCCTTCTACCCGTGGGAGGATCTCCCCCCCCCCCCCCTTCTACCCGTGGGAGGCTCTCCCCCCCCCCCCCCCCTTCTACCCGTGGGAGGCTCTCCCCCCCCCCCCCCCTTCTACCCGTGGGAGGCTCTCCCCCCCCCCCCCCCCTTCTACCCGTGGGGAGGTCTCCCCCCCCCCCCCCTTCTAACCCGTGGGAGGGTGTCTCCCCCCCCCCCCCCTTTCTACCCGTGGGAGGCCTCTCCCCCCCCCTTCTACCCGTGGGAGGTGTCTCCCCCCCCCCCCCCCCCCTCTACCCGTGGGAGGGTGTCTCCTCTCCCCCCCCCCCTCCCCCCTGCCCGTGGGAGGGTGTCTCCTCTCCCCCCCCCCCCCCTGCCCGTGGGAGGGTGTCTCCTCCCCCCCCCCCCCCCCCCTGCCCGTGGGAGGGTGTCTCCTCTCCCCCCCCCCTCTGCCCGTGGGAGGGTGTCTCCTCTCCCCCCCCCCTCTGCCCGTGGGAGGGTGTCTCCTCTCCCCCCCCCCCCTCTGCCCGTGGGAGGGTGTCTCCTCTCCCCCCCCCCCCCCTCTGCCCGTGGGAGGGTGTCTCCTCTCCCCCCCCCCTCTGCCCGTGGGAGGGTGTCTCCTCTCCCCCCCCCCCCCTGCCCGTGGGAGGGTGTCTCCTCTCCCCCCCCCCGTGGGAGGGTGTCTCCTCTCCCCCCCCCCTCTGCCCGTGGGAGGGTGTCTCTCTCCCCCCCCCCTCTGCCCGTGGGAGGGTGTCTCCTCTCTCCCCCCCCCCCTCTGCCCGTGGGAGGGTGTCTCCTCTCCCCCCCCCCTCTGCCCGTGGGAGGGTGTCTCCTCTCCCCCCCCCCCTCTGCCCGTGGGAGGGTGTCTCCTCTCCCCCCCCCCCCCCTCTGCCCGTGGGAGGGTGTCTCCTCTCCCCCCCCCCTCTGCCCGTGGGAGGGTGTCTCCTCTCCCCCCCCCCCCCTCTGCCCGTGGGAGGGTGTCTCCTCTCCTCCCCCCCCCCCTCTGCCCGTGGGAGGGTGTCTCCTCTCCCCCCCCCTCTGCCCGTGGGAGGGTGTCTCCTCTCTCCCCCCCCCTCTGCCCGTGGGAGGGTGTCTCCTCTCCCCCCCCCCTCTGCCCGGGGAGGGTGTCTCCTCCTCCCCCCCCCCCTCTGCCCGTGGGAGGGTGTCTCCTCTCCCCCCCCCTCTCCTCCCCCCCCCCCCTCTGGGTGGGGGTGTCTCCTCCCCCCCCCCCCTCGGCTCTGCCCGTGGGAGGGTGTCTCCTCTCCCCCCCCCCTCTGCCCGTGGGAGGGTGTCTCCTCTCCCCCCCCCCTCTGCCCGTGGGAGGGTGTCTCCTCTCCCCCCCCCCTCTGCCCGTGGGAGGGTGTCTCCTCCCCCCCCCTCTGCCCGTGGGAGGGTGTCTCCTCTCCCCCCCCCCCTCTGCCCGTGGGAGGGTGTCTCCTCCCCCCCCCCCCCCTGCCCGTGGGAGGGTGTCTCCTCTCCCCCCCCTCTGCCCGTGGGAGGGTGTCTCCTCTCCCCCCCCCCTCCTGCCCGTGGGAGGGTGTCTCCTCTCCCCCCCCCTCTGCCCGTGGGAGGGTGTCTCCTCTCCCCCCCCCTCTGCCCGTGGGAGGGTGTCTCCTCTCCCCCCCCCCTCTGCCCGTGGGAGGGTGTCTCCTCTCCCCCCCCCCTCTGCCCGTGGGAGGGTGTCTCCTCTGCCCGTGGGAGGGTGTCTCCCCCCCCCCCCCTGCCCGTGGGGAGGGTGTCTCCTCTCTCCCCCCCCCTCTGCCCGTGGGAGGGTGTCTCCTCTCCCCCCCCCTCTCTGCCCGTGGGAGGGGTGTCTCCTCTCCCCCCCCCTCTCTGCCGTGGGAGGGTGTGTCCTCCTCTCCCCCCCCCTGCTCTGCCCGTGGGAGGGTGTCTCCTCTCCCCCCCCCCCTGCCCGTGGGAGGGTGTCTCCTCTCCCCCCCCCCTCTGCCCGTGGGAGGGTGTCTCCTCTCCCCCCCCCTCTGCCCGTGGGAGGGTGTCTCCTCTCCCCCCCCCTCTGCCCGTGGGAGGGTGTCTCCTCTCCCCCCCCCCCCCCCCTGCCCGTGGGAGGGTGTCTCCTCTCCTCTCCCCCCCCCTCTGCCCGTGGGAGGGTGTCTCCTCTCCCCCCCCCTCTGCCCGTGGGAGGGTGTCTCCTCTCCCCCCCCTCTGCCCGTGGGAGGGTGTCTCCTCTCCCCCCCCCCTCTGCCCGTGGGAGGGTGTCTCCTCTCCCCCCCCCCTCTGCCCCCCCCCTCTGGGAGGGGGTGTCTCCTCTCCCCCCCCCTCTGCCCGTGGGAGGGTGTCTCCTCTCCCCCCCCCCTCTGCCCGTGGGAGGGTGTCTCCTCTCCCCCCCCCCCTCTGCCCGTGGGAGGGTGTCTCCTCTCCCCCCCCCCTCTGCCCGTGGGAGGGTGTCTCCTCTCCTCTCCCCCCCCCTCTGCCCGTGGGAGGGTGTCTCCTCTCCCCCCCCCCCCTCTGCCCGTGGGAGGGTGTCTCCTCTCCCCCCCCCCCTCTGCCCGTGGGAGGGGTCTCCTCCCCCCCCCCCCCCCCCCCCCCTCTGCCCGTGGGAGGGTGTCTCCTCCTCCCCCCCCCCTCTGCCCGTGGGAGGGTGTCTCCTCTCCCCCCCCCCTCCTCTGCCCGTGGGGAGGGTGTCTCCTCTCCCCCCCCCTCTGCCCGTGGGAGGGTGTCTCCTCTCCCCCCCCCCTCTGCCCGTGGGAGGGTGTCTCCTCTCCCCCCCCCCTCTGCCCGTGGGAGGGTGTCTCCTCTCCCCCCCCCCCCTCTGCCCGTGGGAGGGTGTCTCCTCTCCCCCCCCCCCCTCTGCCCCGTGGAGGGTGTCTCCTCTCCCCCCCCCCCATCTACTGCCCGTGGGAGGGTGTCTCCTCTCCCCCCCCCCCCCCCCTCTGCCCGTGGGAGGGTGTCTCCTCTCCCCTCCCCCCCCCCTCTGCCCGTGGGAGGGTGTCTCCTCTCCCCCCCCCCCCCTCTGCCCGTGGGAGGGTGTCCCGTGGGAGGGTCCTCCTCCCCCCCCCCCCCCCCTCTGCCCGTGGGAGGGTGTCTCCTCTCCCCCCCCCCCCCCTCTGCCCGTGGGAGGGTGTCTCCTCTCCCCCCCCCTCTGCCCGTGGGAGGGTGTCTCCTCTCTCCCCCCCCCCCCTCTGCCCGTGGGAGGGTGTCTCCTCTCCCCCCCCCCCTCTGCCCGTGGGAGGGTGTCTCCTCTCTCCCCCCCCCCCCTCTGCCCGTGGGAGGGTGTCTCCTCTCCCCCCCCCCCCCCCCTCTGCCCGTGGGAGGGTGTCTCCTCTCCCCCCCCCCCCCCCCTGCCCGTGGGAGGGTGTCTCCTCTCCCCCCCCCTCTGCCCGTGGGTGGGAGGGTGTCTCCTCTCCCCCCCCCTCTGCCCGTGGGGAGGGTGTCTCCTCTCCCCCCCCCCCCCCCCCTCCCCCCCCCTCTGCCCGTGGGAGGGTGTCTCCTCTCTCCCCCCCCCCCCCCCTCTGCCCGTGGGAGGGTGTCTCCTCTCCCCCCCCCCCCTCTGCCCGTGGGAGGGTGTCTCCTCTCCCCCCCCCCCCCCCGTGGAGGGTGTCTCCTCTCCCCCCCCCTCTGCTGCCGTGGGAGGGTGTCTCTCCTCTCCCCCCCCCTCTGCCCGTGGGAGGGTGTCTCCTCTCCCCCCCCCCCCCCCCCTCTGCCCGTGGGAGGGTGTCTCCTCTCTCCCCCCCCCTCTGCCCCTCCCCCCCCTCTGCCCGTGGGAGGGTGTCTCCTCTCCCCCCCCCCTGCCCGTGGGAGGGTGTCTCCTCTCCCCCCCCCCCTCTGCCCGTGGGAGGGTGTCTCCTCTCCCCCCCCCCCCCCCCCTCTGCCCGTGGGAGGGTGTCTCCTCTCCCCCCCCTCTGCCCGTGGGAGGGTGTCTCCTCTCCCCCCCCCCCCCCTGCCCGTGGGAGGGTGTCTCCTCTCCCCCCCCCCCCCTCTGCCCGTGGGAGGGTGTCTCCTCTCCCCCCCCCTGCCCCCCCTCTGCCCGTGGGGGAGGGTGTCTCCTCTCCCCCCCCCCCCCCCCCCTCTGCCCGTGGGAGGGTGTCTCCTCTCCCCCCCCCCCCCCCCTCTGCCCGTGGGAGGTGTGTCTCCTCTGCCCCCCCCCCCCCCCCCCTGCCCGTGGGAGGGTGTCTCTGCCCGTGGGAGGGTGTCTCCTCCCCCCCCCCCCCCCCTCTGCCCGTGGGAGGGTGTCTCCTCTCCCCCCCCCCCCCCCCTCTGCCCGTGGGAGGGTGTCTCCTCCGCCCACACCATGTTG